GGTGTACCACTCAGTTGGAAGAGATCTCAGCAACCTTACATTCTTTTCTTTGGGAGAAAGAACGTGGTTAAGTGATGCAAGATCATTCAAGATTTTGTGGAATCTTTCATCCAGCATATCAAATGATTCTCCGGGAAGCATTTTGAAGCCTTTGAACTTCTCAAGCAGGACTTCTATCTTCTGCTTTCTCAAGTCCTCTAAACCCTCACATAGCTTCCCAAGACCTTGCCATATCTCCATGGCAGTCTTGAGGTGTTTAATTTTGGAGAAGGTGATTGGGTCAAGTGTCATGAAGATGGCTGCTTTGGTGACGTTATCCAGATTGTGCTTTTTGCAATCTCTATCATCCCATTTTTCCTTGGGCTTTGGAATGTATTGGACTACGTCTGGAGTTGCTGGATTCCTCTCAGGATTCTCCATTTGGATTTTCAAAGGTCCATCCTCAAGCACCATCCACATGCAATCATGTAGAGCGTAGAGATGTGCTTCCATCATGATCTTCCAATCATCATAACCTAGAAGAGAAAACTTGGGCAAACCGTGATCCATATTGTTCACCATTTTGATCGCTTCTCGTTAATCTAAACGTAGATAGTGAGAAGACTGCTCTGATACCAATTGGTGGTCCCAAAGTGGTGAAATACAAAGTCTAGAGGGGGGGTGAATAGACTTTGTTATAGATTTAAAATCTTTTTCGTTTCTTTTGAAAACGTGAAAATGAGTGTTAATCTAGAGTCCTTGTGAACTTTAGATTTTGTGTGCGGAATTTTGGTGGGTAGAGTGAGCAGTAAAGAATATGGATAGGTTAGTTTTCACAGTTAATATGATTGCAAGTAAGAATAGAGATAAGAGAGAGAGAGACACGCAAACTTTAACGAGGTTCGAAGGTGGGGTAATCCTTCTACGTACTCAAAATCCACTATGTAGTTGGTTGTTGAATAATGGACCAACAATTACACTTGTGTGAATTTCTGCACGGTATATCTTCACAAGACCAATGTTGCTACTGCACTCGTGCTGGCTTTGTTGTTCCTTCGAAGGTCAAGCTTCTTCAACAACTGCAAGATTCGAACAATAGGACTTGCAAGATCAACTTGTAAGAGAGTT